AAATCATGACCGGGGTAGGTGAGACACAATGGGAATCAGAGTTTAACACAGGAAAATAGATAAAATCTTTAAAAATCTTCTCAAGAACCACTGGGCCAGGAAGGATGAAACTTAGGTGGAAGCATCCTCTGGTAAGGAAGATACATATTTGTTCAAATCTTGACCCCCGGTGGAAAGGTTGGGCCACAACGGGGTATCAAATTTTAATATACGAATACATTAGGTAAAATCTTTAAAAATCTTCTCAAGAACAGCAAAGCAATGATTGCTCATAGTTATATGGAAGCATCCGCTGGTAGTTAAGATTTAAGTTTGTTCAAATCAAGGGTGGAGTCATTATGGGTGATCAAAGTTTGAAGTAGAATTTCATAGAATTTAAAAAAAAATTCTTCTCAAGAACAGCAAAGCTGTGATTGGTCACATTCATATGGAAGCATTCTAGGGTATTGTAGATTCAAGTTTGTTCATATCATGACCCCCAGGGGTTGAGTGAGGTGACAATGGCTGATCAAGGTTTAAAGTAGGAATACATAGGAAAAATCATAAAAATTCTTCACAAGAACAGCAAAGCCATGATTTATCATCAATATAAAAGCAGAAAAAAGGTAATGTAGATTTCAATTTGTTCAAATCAAGACCGACCAGGAGAATAGAGAAGAGCCATCAAAGTGGATCGTAGTTATGCAAAGGAATATAAAGGCTATATCAAAATTTTCATCTTATAAACAGTAAAGCCATTATTTGTTTAATTAATTCAAAAGCATCCTTAGGAAGTGTATATTTAAGCTTGTTCAAATACCCCCTTTTATACTAGTATTTGAACTTTCAATACTGAACCCATTTTTGCTTTTGCTCAGGTGAGTGTTGTGGCCCCTGTGCTTCTTGTTATATTTAAACTTTTCAAGACTGAACTGCTTTCTGCTTTTTCCTAAGTGCCCAGGTGAAAGATGTGGCTCCTGGACCTTTTGTTCTATAGTAAGACAGTTGCCTACAGTTAATTCCTTTGACTGTCAATAGTAGCCTATCCCTGTGGGTCAGGATCTGAACAAAAATAAAATTTACTATTTATCAAGAACCTTTCATATTTCATCTTTTCTGAACCAGTGATTTTCGAGGAGCAGGGTTTTTTGATGACTCTTCCCAATTTTCACCTTTTCTTAATTATTTCCCCTTGGAATAGGACCGAAGTTTGGTCCTTAAATAGAACAAACTTGAATCCCCTTCATCCAAGGATTCTTGCTAGTAAAAAATAAACAAACACATTATAAATTGGTTGGTAATTTTTTTTTATTGTCAACACCCACCATATGGAGACAATTATCACAGTGACTGACATATCCCTGGTGAACTTTAAACTTTGACCTTTCTGTGGGAGTGATTGTGTTGTGTACTACGGCTGAGTTATTGCTACTGTGACTTTGCCCAGAAAGTCAATTTGATTTCAAAACAAAATCTTAAAATAATTCAAATTGTTAACAGAGAACAGATTTTACATACCTAACAGACTGCTATGGCACAAAATATTTTAACACTGACAAAAAGCAATCCCTCAAGGGACAAATTTTTAAATGTTACTTCACTTACTATTAATACATGTATAATTGTACGCCTTAAATGTGTTTACAGGAGCATATGTTAAAAGATAACTTGCACATAATGTTTATGTTTTTAAGCTAGTACATGTATTACGTATGAGGTAGAAAAAGAAGAATAGTGATTCAAAAAGGAATATGTTAAAAATGGATGCAAGTGGTAGTGTTCTATGGTGCCAAACATTCCAGTTTCATCCTGGTCTAGGCACCATTTATTTTTCTCTTTCTTTCAGCCTCCTCATTTTGTGTCAAGCTTATTTAGCTAGATAATTTCAATCAGCATTAAACAATGATAAATAATTTTAAAAATCAACAATTGTATCACACTTATCTTCCATACATAAACTATTTCTCAGGCTCAACCACGTCCCCATTAAAACATCATAAATATCAAAACAATGCTTAGTATTAATATCGCTAGCAAAAACAAAAGGAAATGATATGAAAAAAAAATTTACACAAATCAGTGATAACTATGTTATCATTCCACTCCATAAATGAATGAAATTAAGATAATACAATGGTATGCTAACTACATTCAGAGTATATAACTACAACAGTTATATTGCTTGATGAACTTTGTTTGAAGATATCATGTCTGGTAACTAGAAACTTTCCTATATTCATATAATTTCAAAATGTTTGTCTAAAGATTCAAGAAAAACAAATAAGTATACATCAAATGGTAGACAACTACATGTACATACATGGTATGTGACACTAAAACCCTGGCCTCACTTAAAAAAGATTGTTAAATAGGTCTTTGTCAAGTAGAATATTTTTTTAGAACCCCTATTTATTTGTGACAACATGGCCTTACACTTTTTTCCCAAAATTATGTACTAACGTATTTTCACAATAAAACATCGTGAAAAGGTTTTAAAGATTGAGCACTAAAAATGAATTTTTTGTTGTACTAATGGATGAATATTGTTGAAAAAAATGGACATACCATATTATACTTGCATAAAGATAGGTTCATTTAATGTTTTTTTAGATTGTTCTGGAGGAGGTAACCAATGAAAGATTAATAAGGTGCTGCAATTTTTTTGGTCTAAATCAATTGCTAATTTCTGATTCAATATTATTCTCTTTTTTGAAAGTTTTTGAATAAACACAATAAATAATATACAGTCAATTCTCGAATTATCGCCATTCGATTCATCGCCATTTTCGCAATACCGCCATGATTTCCCAAGAACGTTTTTCCTGCTATATAAAATTCTCTTTATAACGCCAAATTCGCATACCGCCATCCGCCACCCTGTTTTCACAACAAACGTCCATTTTTAAGTGTCAATTATCTCGATATACCGCCACAGGTGCATGTGGTCAGTGAAGCGCGGCTAATTAGTTGACGCTATTCCTGTTGTAAAGCATGCAAACGCAGACAAGGTACATGCAATTAAGTAATTAAACAAGAATTAAATAAACAATAATTTTAACATGAACTGTTATAATTATTTTGTTTTCTGTTTAATATAATCATTTATTCATGGCTTCGCACGGTCGTTGTTAAAGTTCGCCGATAACGATATTATTTTGATGATCTCTGCTTTAAACAGTGCAAAGTTTGCTGGAAAAATAATTATACGGTATAAATTGTGAACGTTCCATCAACAATGATACCATAAACAATGAACATATTCAAGAATTCATTTTACTTATTATCGGCAATATATCACGACGATCGACCCAGTATGTTTTTTTTTTCAATATCGAATGTGCAGATTTACATTCATATACAAATATTTGTCTTTATTTCATAACTACACATTTTTTTTTCGCAAAATTGTACATTAAAAAAATTACTTGAAGTATTTTCAATCAGAAATATGTGTTTATATACATGTACATTTAATTAATAATAAGATTAGAAACGCTAAATGGTATTTCTAAGAACGATAACTCTTCTTCTTGTTTTCTAAAAGATGAGAAATTCAATTCATCGCCAAATTCGTTATACCGCCATGATTTCTAAATTACAGAAGGCGGCGGTTTATCGAGAATTAACTGTACATTTTAAAAAATTCTATTGTATATAAGCACTCAAATTTTACAAATACATGTAAATGGTAAGTTATAGAGAGGTTTGGGCCAGAATATTTGACATATATGCAAGTATAAACGATATATGTTGTGTGTGTTAGTGGCTCATAAATAAAACTGCTGGAATATTGTAAAACAGCTGCACAAATAATTCTGACCTGTTTCACAAATGTAAACCACCTCCTCTACTCATTTAAGCACTGAATATATCTCAGAATTTCTCATTTTGGAAAAAAAAATTTCTATAAAAATCAAAAAACAGTTTCCCATAATTATAAGGATAACGCTGGAATGTTCTTTGCAATCAAAAGTCAACAAGATTCAAACTGAGGCTTTGTAAATGCAGCATTGGAACAAACAATCAGAAAACATGAATCATTCAGTACGAAATAATCTTTGGAAAAATGGACTTAAACTTTCTCTTCTTCATATCTTAACTTTCCTTCCATTAAAATTAAAGTGTATTTTAAAAGGGAAACCACACACAGTAATAAATAAATTGGGGAAAATTTTACTTTCATGCTCAATCCCTATGTATAATAGAAACACCCAATTTACTAAATATTAACTACTAACTAGTAAAGAAAGAACTTAATAAGTAAAGTAACTTCTGATTTTAGCTAAGAACGCTTTGTGCTCACTTAAATGTGGAAAAAATACATATAACCTAACTTCACATAAAATTCAACTATAAATAAATGTTTTTTTTTTCAAAATCCTAGCATGATATATCTTTACTTTTACTGAAATGTCTTATCTGTAACCTTAGCATTAAAAACAAAATACATCACAATAAGGCTATCTAAATTTAATTCCCTGGTTCTCAGGCTAATTTTCTCCAAAACAGATGCGGGAGGGCGGCATTTTATTTTTCATTTTATTGGCAATAAAGTAGATGAGGGAGGTATTTTTTTAAATTTTAATTTACGAATTTTTTTAACATAAAGATAATTTTTTAAATCACAGATATACTTTCCATTTCTGGTCAAAATTTCTGCTTTATCCGTTGCTTAACAGCGTGTAAACATCGTAGGTAATGTCCTCGAATGTATTTTCAAACGAAGTAGCCAAAAAATCTCATTGTAAATGGCTACCAGAAGTGATATTTGAATACTAAACTACGAAACAATTGAGGTCGGAATTTTTTTTCCCGGATTGGTCTCCGCAACACCAACTTTTTATTTTATCAAAAATACAATAAAATCGGCAATGCGGCTACCTCAAAACGGATGCGCGCGGGCCTGAGAACCAAGATTTCAATTTTATATGGCCTAATGGATTTAAAGCAAGTAAAACCATTCCCTCTTGGCAACTGACATTTAACGTTCTGATCCACATCTAAAACCACAACAAAACCAGTGGAAAATAAATTTCATTTGGAACAAAAAATGTCTTCTCTTCTAAAATACATCCCTCTCATAAACCTTACATCAGTTCTGTAAGCCAGACAGTGAAAGCTGTAAATCAGGAGAGCCGACAGCTCTTCCCATACCCACATCACAGGGTGTCATTGTTAAGAACCATCCAGAGAGATTGCTTAATTCCTTGGAGTACATAAATAACTTAAGTGCCATTTCTACGTTGAGGGGCGGTGCCTACGTGTTGGCGAATGGCTGCCGGCCCCTCTGAGTGAGTCCTTCAAATCGTTTGTATGTGTAGTTTATGAACACCCAGTCTTTGTATTTGGGATCACCCTCTGTCGTGGAATGATTAGCTCCCTGATGTGGGGTCCCGTCTTTGTTGGCAGCTGTGGAAATAAAAGTAAGATACAGATAAAACCCAAAATAAAACTACTCTAGAAGAACTTTTTTAGCAGTCACAAATCTTCACTGGAAATTTCTCCCAGCATATTTTAAGTACATTTAAATGCAATCATAAGAAATCCAAGTAATTTTCTAAATATGCATTAAACAAAAATTGTGTTTCCACAAAAAAGGACATTTGAAGCATAAGTATCCTTCTTTAATGAAAATGTGAATCTTCAATGTCTAATTAACCCTGTTTGTTATCTGTTCTATTGTACTGATGGAAAGGAAATTGACAGTTACATCTTCAACAAGGTGAAAAGTTCAATAAAACTTCAGCTGTCATTAACAATACATACGCCACTTGAGATCTATGTCTGGGAATTCATCAAAGTTTGACGTGTCATCGATGCTTTTGACTTCCACTGGGATGGCAGCAGGTCTGTCTCTGTAAACAGCACAATGAAAAATTTGTAGAAGGTCTGATTGATTTTGCACTTTCTCAGGATTTTGCATATAATTAACAAGATATTCAAATGGTAATTAGAGCAGGCAACATAATTATTAGACAAAACGTAATGACAATGTCTCTGCAATGCAAAACACATTCTTCTAAAACAAATGGCAATCTAATCTAATTGCTATCTTTTATTTGTTGAATGGGTTGAGGTGTTAAAAATATTTACAATTTACTATGCTTACTGTGGAATCATTAGATTATGTAATGACTCATTTTTGTTGAATTCATGGATACCTCTCATCCACAATAAATATCCTCAACGAATAAATAAAACAGATTTCAAAAGTTATACTTGTATTTTGCTTTGCATGTATAAAAGAATACACGAATGTAGGTCCTCACAAACCTGTAAAATTTAAGCAATCCTTGACCTCCCCCATCCCACCACGGCACCATCACGACTAATTTTTATGATTCCACAGTAGTTAATTCAAAATTGACTAAATTTTCCTTCTTTAATTATTTGAAATGTGGCAATAATTATAATTAGCTATGATTAGTGAATTTATAACATGTGTATTTTTGGTTGCTACTTGCGATGACTAATCTACGGATCCTCACCTGATGTGTTTCCAGTCGACTCCTCTGAAGAAAACATGGGACTTGATTTCATCTGGATTACCTGCACCTATCCTGTGCTCAGCATCACAGCAAAACCTTCAAAACCATGAAATTTGTTTAATTCAATGGAAAAATCAAAATAAAACACTTAATAATTTTCTCTGAATGTCTAAATACATACAAATTATATTAAAATTTGGTTTTATAGTTATCAGGAAGAAAAATCAAAATAAAACACTTAAATTTTTTCTCTGGAAATTTATACTTGCATATGTGTAATTTTGTATTGATAAAAGTATTGTTAATAAAGACATACTACATCAATATGAAAATCAATGAATGGGAAATATTTTTCTACACTCCTAAAAACATTCATGACGTACTTAATCACAGCAGTGACAATGTTTATTTTAAATTCCTTGGTATTGAAGCCTTGACCTTTGTTTATGACCAAATGTGAAGTTTTTATCAAAAGAAGTTTAACTGTCAAAATTTAAGTTGTGAATAGAAAGCTAACCACCAGAAGTGACAGGGAGAAACAATAAACCCTGAATCTTTAAGAAAGGGCAGCAAAACAATCCCATTCATTAAAAGTATACCTTTGAATTAAATCCCTGGCTTCATTGGAAATTGGCATCTCTGGCGGAAAGACGAGAGTTTCTCTCCAGTTCATGACCTTCCTGTAAGTTTCTTGTGGATTCTCAGAACAAAATGGAGGATAACCTGACCAAAAATCAAACAAAAATATACATAACTGGATATACAATATTCCTGAGAAGTGGATTCTATAAATTACATGGATCAATGCAGGACAAACTTTTAGAAACATTGGACATATTATATTAAGATAACCTACCTATTAACATTTCATACATTATGACCCCTAATGACCACCAATCACAGCTGCTGTTATAACCCGTCTGCATAAATACTTCCGGGGCAATATAGTCTGGGGTTCCCACTGTGGAATACGCCTGAAATTTATAACAAAATTCCCTCAGAAAATGATTTCTTTATAAAACTTGCAAAAAGTAACCAATATCCTATATTTCATTAAAAATAAGTATGCTGGAGTACAAGATCCAAGATGAATACAGATTGTATTATAATGTTCAGAAACAATATATTGCTTTTAGTATAAGGCAGAATTGTTGTAGGCTTGTAGCCTTGTTAAGAGTTATTCCCCTTGTCACAATGAGCTACTCACCAACTGTCGTCGATTTCTTTTCCAGCTTTCAGCTCTTCGTTTTGAATCCATTGGATTCGAACCTGGAAAAAAAGAAAGTATGTCAATGAAACATTTACTCTTTTGAGACTCGCAGAATCTTTGTTATAGAAGTAGTACAGAAGACAATTCAGTAGAATTGGTTTTAACCTTTCTGAAATTTAGACCGACGTTCCCAACATGACTTACTAAAATCCCGAGCTTTGGCATTTTTGAGATCTTTGTAGTAGTCTGTTCTATGAGATTTCTTCAGGCCTGTACAAAGGCCAAAGTCAGATAATTTGATATGTCCCTGTAAAAAAAATAACACTTTAAGATCAGAGAATCAAAGAAAATCAGTTTTAAGCACATGACATTATGCATAAATCACATACCCATTTACATGCATTTCATTATACCTTAAAAAGTTTTATATACCTGGTAATTGTTATTCTACTAATTTAAGCAATCATAATCAGTTCTTTAAAAATATATATATGTTATGTATCAACAATTAAAATGTATCATAGACGTGTAATTCTTTGTAGTAGTACATTTTCCTTATTTGTCAAAGTTGTTGATAAAAGAAATTGTTCACCCCAGCAAGCAGGGCAAAGTCCTGGATGCCTATCAATAATCAGGAGCCAGATTTAAAAATTTCTATTCGCTCAAGCGTAGTGGGTGAAACTGACCTTGGCATCTAGCAGTAAGTTATCAGGTTTAATGTCCCTATGGATAAAGCCGAGGTTGTGTATAGAGTCTATGGCTAACACTGTTTCTGATATATAAAACTGAGTCTGTTCCTCTGTTAATGTATCCTTCTTCATCAGCAGTGTCATCATGTCACCTGGAATTAAAAATATCAAAGTACTAAAAGTACCGAATCAAGGTGAAATCTTCCAGTAAAATTAGAAATCCATTTGCTAGTTACATGGCATAAATGCTCATATCAATGAGAAATTCAAGTATCTACATTCAAGTTGGTTTTAAATGTTAGGCTGTTTAAAATTAAAACTATGTTTAACGTCACCCGCGCGCGTAGGTTTATGAGAAATTCGTCTTTGAAAAAAACAAGCAATTCGGAATTCCGTATGTCTGTTCTACAATTAGCGACTAAATTCTGCTTCCCGTAGTGACAGAAAATGTGCTTTGATAGCAGCAGACTGAGCAGTAAAGGTAGTTGGTGTCGTATTAAAGAAAACTAGTGAATTAAAGAGTTTGGGACCATAAATGTAAGTAAAAAATAGATGATTTTATGATTGAAGTTAATGACAAAGTCTAGTTTGTTGATTTTTTTGTCAGTCTTCAAATCACGTGTTCAGACTGACAATGACAGACTCTCAGTTCGTGATTCTATTGGCTGAACTTTTCATTGTATTTTGGAGAGAATCGAAAAACTTTTTTACTGAGTGGAAAGTGTGTCAAAAACCAAGATTTATATATAGTGAAAAGCATCATTCAAATCTTATTTAATATGTTTCATATTAAAAATATTTCTATAAAAATCGAAAGGAACAGTAATGAGTAAAGTAATTGATTTCTTCATAATTCATGTACCTACAAATAGCTACAGTTTTTGGAAAAGATAATACTTGTCATAACCATTTGAGCAGGGAGAAGCTTACCGAAGATAGGGCCTTTCAAGTGAAGGAGAGTAAGGAAAGTGATTGGGGTATTCCAAGACGTGAAGAATACTGTCTTTAGTATGGAATTCAAGGTATTAAAGATAATCTAACAGCTATCAGTATGGTCCAAATATTAGTATTCACACTTTCAAAACTTAATGCTAGTAGATCTAGTACTAAGAAAAAATACGACATTATTCAATTTGAGATATTTCAACATGAACAGTTATAAATTGTCATCAATAATTTTAATTGTAGATATTGATCAACTATTCCCACAAGAAGAAGCATTTGCCTCCAGGGTACCATGGACGTGTGGCAATATAAATCCAAAGGACAACTGAGGCCTAGTTAAAAGCCTTTTTCCTGCACATTCAGTCTTAGACTACATATTTTGATAACAATAGGACTCAAACTGATTTACATACTAAGGAAAAACTCTGCTAGGGAAATTAATCTTAGGTGTCATATCAAATAAATGCTCTTATTAGTTAACTGTAATGTTTTTAATGTAGTGAATAGGTTAATTTGAATAAATTCACAATTGTTTGAAAATTTTGTTTGTTTATTTTTTCCCTCCCTCCCTCGTAGGTTTTGAACTTTAGATGTGACGTTAAACGTAGAATTAACTTTGAACAGCCTTAACTGAAATGTTAATACATACAAAACACTTTCAATTTGAGACTAGAAAATTGAGATGCTTTGAGTAAATAAAAAATGTTTGAATATACAATATCTTCTTCACAACCCATGGGTGATGATCCACTACTCTCTTTTTGGGTGATGAAATTAAGCAAATCCGACACTAGTCCAAAATATCTGACATTTTCCAGGCTTTTTAAATAAAGAATTTTATATTTTACATGCCAGGAAAATGACAAAACCAGCATGGAGTTATATTTTTTGATAATTTTGAGTACTAAAAGAATTGTGGTACTGATAAATTTTTAGTTTGGCATTTAATTTGGATTACAAACTACATCGAAAATCACATTGGCTGGAGGTGAGAATTTTCCAGTTTTCGTAATGCTGCCTGTTCTGACTTTTTCCTAGCACATGAAATATCAAAATCATAAAAAAGCCTGGAAAACGTGAGTTATTTCAGACTGATAGGACACTTGGCATACAAGGATGACAAATTTTTATCTGATGTTTTCTAAGAAAAAACAGATTCCATTAAAACCTTACCCCCAGGTAAGTATTCCATGATGAGGTACAGATTTTGCTGATCTTGGAAGGAATAGTACATCTTGACAACCCACTGGTGGTCGGCCTCGACCAGAATGTCTCTCTCAGCTCGCACATGGGCAATCTGGAAGTACATAAAATACATTCATGAAAGGATAGGTCTCTTCTAACAAACACACAAGAAGTTTATATGTTAAATAAAACATTATATTTGGTCCAAAAGTTTTCAAGATGATCCTAGAAATCTGATAATTTAATACTTAGAATATAAAGTTGCTTAGTCAGATTTTTTTGTTCGGGAAAAAAATTAGGCTACTTTAACAAGATTTTTTCAAATTATTTCGTTATAATATCACAAATATGGCAATTCTTCATGAAATGATGGATGGAATAAATTATTATACTGCAAAGAAGAATAAAGCATTAAGTTTTAACTTTGTGAACTTCAAGAAATAAATCTTAATTATTACATTTTATTGCTGTTGCACCTTACACATTCATTGATATTCTATAAAGACCACGTAATTCTAAAATAAATTCAATACTGCTATTACTTCTAGTCTAAAGATGACTTTGTTACAGTATTTCTATACAATTATTCATTTTTGATGAGGTCTACATGTGACCATCCGTATACGGAACTGATCATATCAGCTATTGGTTTGTCAAGGCCAAAGGCTGAGGTTAACCAATATCTGACCAGGTCTGAACAGTCACAAGTAGGACACCATCACGTTTAATAGACAATAACCATTTTATTAAACAATCAGAAATTTTACACACTATAGATATTGTTGCCATTAAATATAAACTCATAATATAAAATATCCTGAACCAATATATCATATTATATTTCAACAGTTTAACAACTGTTTAACAAGGTGGAAAATAGTGCTTTTACTGGTAATAAAAGAATAAATACTTATTAAAGCAGAGTTGAGACTTGGATACTAGCATCTGCATTATTTATGTTTACAATGATTCATGCATTGATTAAAACACAAAATTTGATTGGTTTGCTAAAATGTAACCAAATGTTAGGTTGGTCAAGAGGAAATACCCACATTTAACCTCCGCAGACTTCCATTTTGAGGTGAACCCACTATGAGGTAAAAGTCTGGACAAACTCAGAGAGCATCAAAATTCCTCATCATTTGATAATTAATACAGAATAATTAAATTCATTTAGCTAGTCCATCAAATGAGTTAGAAATACTTTTTTTGTTTTCTTTCTCTCCTATTCAGCTAACCTATGTTCCTTTTTTCTTTCTTTTTTGAACACCCTTTGTCATATGTGTATAAGTTACATAATTCAAAGACAAATAAATACATGATTTTAAAATTTCCGCATTGTCAGATATGTCACAATCTTATGATTTTATTGAAAAATTTAAAACCCCACCAAAGGACTCAAGTTCTTTATTTATTCAGCCAGGTTTCTCAAATAGGAAGTTATTATCAAAAAATTCTGACAAAAAGCAATAATTTATGACAAAATAAATAACTTCTTTATCAGAAATTACACAATTCTCTTCCTAAATGTCCTTGATTAGCTAATGCATCACATTGCCGTCCAGTGCATAGGAATTACCTGTACACAAAACAGACCACACAAAAATCAGTTCATACCTGGTCTTTTTCTACCATGTCAGCCTTTCTGAGAATTTTCATGGCGTAGACATGACCTGTGTCTTTTTTCTGAACTAGTCGCACCTGAAAAAGAGAAAAACAAAATCAAATTCATTATCCAGTACTGATTATCTAATACAGAGAATCAAAGAGCTATCTAATCACTGGGTAGGGTCAATATTACTTTGATTCATGTTATAAACATTATTATTTCACAATTTTTTTTTCTCTGATATGATACTTAGAAAGTGTTTGACGTTCACATGACCCTTCTGGGCTTTCCATCAATAATTATAGGTATTAATTATTTCTACATGAACCCTTATTGACTTGTCAGCTACACTGTAGCTCTTTATTTATGCATAATCACAACTGCATGATAATTTACCAGCCATGCATCTTCAAATCCCTAAAAAGTCTGCTTTTATCATTCGTTTTTATCGGAATATTGCCTGTGTGTGTCAATGTGTTACATCAATGCATTACATCTTATGTCCAATAGAAGAATGATGCATCCTTCATATTGAACTGTTAATTGCGTGCAGCAGTCATTTCGTTTAAAATGACATTCAAATACTGCTTTATTCTGTACACAACTGGCAGGAATTAGAGTTTTAAATGTGTTAAAATTTCAATACAGCACATGACATTAAGCCAGTACACTTGTCCTTGAAGATTCAGCATTCTATTTAACTTCTTCCATATGTCGAGGGGGCAAAACATGAAATGTTTAGATTATGTGACCTCCACAAACTGACAGGGTTCTCTAAGATATTTTTAGATTTCTTTACAAAATGTTTCCAGCTGAAAGTTTTAGTAAATGTCGCTGGGCAATAGATTGCACTGACCTAGTTATGGGTATTTGTTTACAAAGGGCTTAAGTTTCAGACTGCTTTTGTATGCAAGGTGAAATGGGCAGTTATAATTTTGTTATTTTTGCTAATTTGAGCAGTTACTATTAGGCATTTGAAAACTTCAAAAGCTATAAGCTTGAATAAAAACTGCATTTCATTTGGTACATAAAGAAACCCAAGGCATGTATATTGCTGTTCAGTGTGCAGATATAATTCTGTGACAATTTTCAGTGTAATAAAAACTGCTTCAAAATGTTGCCAAAGTTCATGACAAGTAAAAAACATCTAAAGAGTCCCGAATCAAATGAACAAATACTGTTGGTGACAGATGGATGAGAAAACCGAGAGCTGAGCCAATAGCTGGCTGTGTTATAGGGGTAATTACCCACCATAAATAACAGAGAAGCTTATCAAGAACAAATAAACTCTTTAAAAGGGCACGATTCCTCAACTCATGAGGTTACAAGCCCTTCAGAATACTCTACCCAATGGCAAGTTTGTATTCATCAGCCATGTACTTGATTTTCTTGTCACTAATCCAGCTGTCCCAACCTATGTAGTCAATAGTCAGTCTACATTCTGTATCCTGTAGATACTAGTCAGTCAACATTCTGTATCCATATAGTTACTAGTCAGTCTACATTCTGTATCCATATAGTCACTAGTCAGTCTACATTCTGTATCCATATAGTCACTAGTCAGTCTACATTCTGTATCCATATAGCCACTAGTCAGTCTACATTCTATATCCATAGTAACAAGTCAGTCTTCATTCTGTATCCATATAGTCACTAGTCAGTCTACATTCTGTATCTATATAGTCACTAGTCAGTCTATATTCTGTATCCATATAGCCACTAGTCAGTCTACATTCTGTATCTATATAGTCACTAGTCAGTCTACATTCTGTATCCATATAGCCACTAGTCAGTTTACATTCTGTATCCAGATAGTCCTAGTCAGTCTACATTCTGTATCCATACATTCACTACTCAGTCTATCCATATATTCACCAGTCAGTTAACATTCTGTATCCATATAGTCACTAGTCAGTTAACATTCTGTATCCATATAGTCACTAGTCAGTCAACATTCTGTATCCATATAGTCACTAGTCAGTCAATCCATATATTCACTAGTCAGTCAACATTCTTTATCCATATAGTCACTAGTCAGTTAACATTCTGTATCCATATAGTCACTAGTCAGTCTACATTCTGTATCCAGATAGTCACTAGTCAGTCAACATTCTGTATCCATATAGTCACTAGTCAGTCAATCCATATATTCACTGGTCAGTCAACATTCTGTATCCATATAGTCACTAGTCAGTCAATATTCTGTATCCATATAGCCACTAGTCAGTCTACATTCTGTATCCATATATTCACTAGTCAGTCTTCATTATGTATCCTGTAGATACTAGTCAGTCAACATTCTGTATCCATGTAATCACTAGTCAGTCATTATTCTATTAATCACTATAGTCTATGTCCTTGTGGTCACTATAGTATATGTCCATGTAGTCACTATAGTCTATGTCCTTGAAATAACTAGTCAGTTTGTACTAATCTATGTAGTTTTAAGTCAGCTGGCATTCTACATGTATGCCCATAGTGTCACTAGATGGTCAGCATTTTCTAACCAAACAGTTACCAGTCAGCCAACATTTCCTATAGATATGTTCAAATTAGTTAATGTTCCATTTGCATTTAATGAATGGTTGATTTGATGGAAATAAGACTTTATTTTTTTCATATAAAGAACTGAAAATTTGTCATCAGTTAATTTATTGAAAAAAATCTTGCAATGTTCTTGGCTTTATTTTCCCCTCTTTATAAATCTAATTTTGACATCTACCCCTTAAACAAAAGTTCCTTTAAGTAAAACCGGTTATCATGGTTATGACTTAATCAAGCCTTTTTTTTTTAAATTTACATTAAGTAGAGCAGAGTCTGCACAATCTAAACAGGGCTTATCCAATACAGGAAGATGTGACTCATGAAGCAGACAAATATCAAACACTGATTGAAGTCAATTGAGACTGAATAAGCTCGTCCTGATAAGTAGATTGTGAGAAGATTTCTCTCTCAGATAAAGAGCCTCCTTACAAATTATTACCACAGTACCAGCTACCCATTACAATGTGCTTAATGACTAGACCCTGGCTACCATATCATCATGGAGGTCACAAAAATTAAAATATGTGACCACATACACTTAAAACAATTCTATTCTGGTCACGGTCAAGCTAATTTTCCCAGGGTTTTATGGTAAATTTTAATCAAGGACCAAATGACGCCAAAACCTCTCAAATTTTCATGTTGTCACACCCAAAAATTCAATAACCTTATTACCATATAAGTAACATATTGTTATCTGTCAGCAATGTTATATTATTGATGTTGATGTGTCATATCTTAGTGATGAATTTATAACATTTATCTTATTTTTCAGAATATTTAATTCATACAGTAAAATACTTGTACTTTTAGGTTTAATGGAAACGCTTTGAATAAAAAATGTTGAAACTTCTTATTTATTGCTATTCACTCATATCAACGGAAGCCCATTTAGGACCTATCAAAAATATTTTTGAATTCGTTATAACGATTTTTAGAATTCGTTATAACGAATTAATTTGTTATAACAAATTTTTAGAATTCGTTATAACAAATTTAATTTGTTGTTACAGATTTATCGAATTCGTTATAACGAATTTAATTTGTTATTACAGCCTTATACGTTATAACGAATTAAATTTGTTATTACATATTCATTCAATTCGTTATAACGAATTTAATTTGTTATTACATATTTATTAAATTCGTTATAACGAATTCAACAAATCTGTAATAACAGATTAAATTTGTTATAACGAATTCAACAAATCTGTAATAACAGATTAAATTCGTTATAACGAATTCAACAAATCTGTAATAACAGATTAAATTCGTAATAATGAATTCAATGAATCTGTTATAACAAATTAAATTCGTTATTACGAATTTAAAAAATCTGTTAAAATAAATTAAATTCGTTATAACGAATTCAATAAATCTGTTATAACAAATTTAATTCGTTATAACGAATTCTAAAAAATCGTTATAACGAATTCAAAAATATTTTTTGATAGGTCCTAAATGGGCTTCCGTATATCACTGAATTGAGGGCAGAATTTAAAAATTAATTTTAAAAAAATCTTTGCATGTCAGTAAGAAATTTAAGAAATCTTCCTCCCTTCATCAAAATCTACAAAAACAAAAAATCTTAAAGTAAAAGGGATCAGATCTTAAAACTTGGTCACCTGTAATCTGTGTGACCTTGAGAGGATATCCTCATAAAGGTGATTTCCTGTATTACCTGAGATTAAATAACAAGAACACCTTTAGTTACACCTGAATAGTAGGCCAACCAAAATCAAAAGTTTAAAATTTAAGACACCAAGTATCAAAGGAAAACCTGAGAGTCTACATGTACATCATCTAACTCTGAAAAACCAAAACAATTCCTGATCAGAGAGACGGAAAGAAGGACAAATTTATCCTGTGTATCTGACACAGTAAGGTCTTCATCCCTTGTCAGTTTGTCATGCATGCTTCAGTTGATATGTAGAGCTATAAACACACTCAAACTCCCTTCATGTCACTACATATCAAATCTTCATTATTTTGGAAACAAGACTTCTATTTACTTTATATCTGGTCTGTAGCAGGTCTTTGTCCTATGTAATTTTAAGGTGATTTCTTCATGCAGATACCTGTCATTTTAATACCAATATTACTGAAAGCACTTTAAATAGACCCTGTCTTTGCCTTGCACCATAAACAAGTTCAATGTAGTCGGTTTAAAAGAAAATAAAAAAAATTTCCTTGTAAAGGTTACCAATTTATTGGTATAATGTAGTAATTTACATCTCTATCAACATATCATTCCCTTGTAATGGTGTGACTAACTTATTGATGCTTTTAATAAAGATGTAACATCTTTCTACTGCGCATTAAACATTTATGATTATTAAGTGACCTGCTTCCAAAATTATGCAGAGAAGTGCATGCTTACTTTTACAAACATATCAATCATATTCTTTTCCATATTTTAATAATATAATAATAGGAATTGACCATTGTCAAAATTTAAGAGTTGTCCCAATTTTTATTTCAAATGTCCAAAGGTGCTATTTTTAGGAGAGGCATAAAGAACAAAATGAAGAAATAGTGGCAAGGAAAGGAACAAGATATGTTTGTGAAACACTGGTGTCATGTAGGCATGGTCAAGATTGTCTTCCTCAAATCTAAGTGAACTTTGGGGTCAAGGTCAAGAGGTCAAAAATGATTGTACCAAAGAAGGATGAGAATACTAAAAGTAAAATTGTTGTGAACTTGTATATTAATTTTATTTTTCAGACTCACCTCTCCAAATGCCCCTCTGCCGATGGCTTTGATTGGCTCAAAATCTTCTACCCCTAACCTTGACCTTTTTAACCTCAGGAATTCTGTTTCTTTGGAAGCATGTTGTTGTCTTCTCTCTGATTTCTGATAATATATTTAAAGTATTTCAATTAAAAAAAAAATAAACAAACTATGTAGCATTAATAATATAACACAAAGTTTGACGGATTCAGAATATGTGATAAACACACATTTCTATTCATTTGTATGTTTTATATCTTTATAATTATGTAAAAAAAAAAAAGCTGTTCTAAGATTTGACTAAAACAAATATTAAAATTAAGATAAGTCATGAAAAACATCAATACATCATAATTTTTTTTTCTGTCCTGTACATATGTATTTTTATATATAAAGTGTGAAAGTAACAACTATGAAAATTTCTAATCAATCACAATAAAACTCTATAAAAAAATAAAAGGACATTTTTTATCAGGGCATTGTTTTAAAAGGACCAACAAATAAAACATAATCAACATGACATCAACAGATCAAGACCAAAATTTAATTGTTTAAGATCTGTATTTCCTTGTGACACCGCACACATGAACAGGAAATCAGCGTCATTCTACATCACACTCAGTTTACGCGGGTTGATCACATAACCACATGTTCCAGCAAACTTCCTTTCACTATTGCTGAATCACTGCTGTCATGCTATATTAATGTGTACATTACAAATACACAAAAAATCATAATGGATAAGTAGTGATCAGTATTTAGTGGTGACTAGTGTATCTAAAAAAAATTTAATTAATCTAAAGAGGATTTGCCTATTGATCCTGGTGCACATTTAAATGAGAGAAATGAATCAGCAAATTTCACATTAGGTTAATGATAAAACATTCAACCATTGACTGGGAAGAACATAAAATCTGTTTACTCCATATTTTATGACAAAATCAGAGAAAAAAATCAAATCAATTCACTGGAAAAATCAAGGCCTTTCCAGCTGGGTTAAGTGTAGACTCTTTCTAAAGTGGATTTCTTTTTTCCTTTTTAAAATATGGTGAACAGAAATTTCTGTGTAAAATAATAAATGTCTTTTGACAAAACAAGATACTTCAAAATGTTTGCTTTTCTGAGTGTGTTGTAATCAATTAATCACAGAAATCTATCAGCACTAAAGTTCATGACCTTTAACTTAAATGACCTTGATACAGCAAGGAGTCATTGACCCTATAATTACCATCCCATCAGGGAATCTTTAAGTCAATACACACACTATTTGTATTTGTCAAGTGTGTTCTTCACAAAATATCCTAGATATTGGTCCAACAGATGACACCAGAAGTAAATGCCATCACCCCCCAAAACAAAAATTCTACAGGACTCTGGTCCATCGACATCAAACAAAACACAACAGCATGCCAAGAACAACAAACTCTATATAATTATCTGTATGGCGACACACCGGAGGTGGTGATTTTTTCTTATTTTTTTTTTTACCTGTTCTTCTGAAAGGCCATCTGTGTTCATTGACTGCTCCAGAAGGCGATACCTGTGTAAAAGAGAAAAGCCAGCATTTAATAACAGCTTCTCAATATAAAAGGTAACAGAGACGATTCATTATGTAATGACACTTCACAAAATCTGTCACGTTTATTTGTTCTGTAGAAAGGACATTATTTTATAAAGCTGCATCCCTATTAAGTTGTGGGTTAATGACTTGAAAGTCATCATTGAGCAGATAAAAGGCTAACATTTTTGTGCATTGTAATTCTGAATATGAATTGAACTAAGATTTATTGATGTATGTGATGCAATGTCCAGGCATTAATTTCAAAAAATGCTCTAAGACACCACAGGTATATTTTGAGCAAAATGATACCTTCCTCTCCAATTTGTATGTACCGGGTAATGGCAGATATCAAGTTTTACTGTGGGAAAACCAAAATATCTGCCCAATCAAATTGTAAATTAAGACATGCATACTAGCACTTAGGATTAAATAAAAATTCTGAAAAAAAAGTATCATTAATATTTTTTCAGTAGAATAGGAGTTGAAGAGACAGATCAGGAAACCCCCATTTAAATGGACAAATGGATGGATGGATGAATGGAATGACACCCTTATCATTATATACAGGGGTTGTGACCCTAGACCCGTGGCATGGGGAACTTCCCATTCTATGATGATGTTAACCCCCAGGTCTTCTGGTAGTCCGCCCGTTGGGGAAGGATTTACTGTCGATCTCTTCAACCTTTTAACATGATTAATTGTTCCCTGCTTTTGCAATGCTTAAGGACAACCCTACCATGTGTGTGGGGGGGATATAAATATAATGCATTTTAGAGCCTAAAAAGCTTTTATCTATCATTTTATAAAGATTAGCAATTAAAGTACATATACTCCTAATTTATGCCACGTTTGAAGCACAACGATGCAATGTTTCATATTAAAATAGATGCAATAATGGTTGTTGGTACCATAATGGACAGACAACAAAAAGTCATTTGAATTGTAATCTTACATATAAAAAAAAATATGTAGTCTCAGCGATTATCTTAAATGAAAAAGGTTAATGAGTAACTGAACAAAATTGAAAACATTCTACAGTGTACTTTTAATTTCATTTTAATGTGAGGGACACAACCTAATGCTAAAGAGTCAATGAACAAACATTTACTTTTTACTTATTCATTATATAACATATAATTAATACAATAAATCAATAAGGAGGACACACAAAAGATTTTCAAACCAAGTATCAAAACTCTGTATAATTAGATAACAGAACAACAGCATGCAAGTATACAGATCTATATTTATGTCCAAAACATGATTCCTAAACAAAGATCATTTCCAACACAATATATAGTGCTTACACAGCTGTTTGAATTTATATTGCGCAAGAGTGTTCTTCTTTTGTCCTAATCAGAATTGATTTTTTTTCCCGTTGATAATTAAATTGCATGCTATAAAGTATTCATAAACACGTAGGGATCGAACTTTGACTTTAAAGTCCAGGTATTAGTCAAAAGAACTGCTCCGAATACCGTACATAAAAAAACCCGAGACTTTTAATGAATCAAATATACTCAATACCCTAAAACGTACTTCAATCTGCTTTGACTGTTAATGCTCAGTGCAAGACTAGTGATAAAAGACTAATAATCAGAAATTAAAAAGTTTATGCTTAAACATGTTAAAACTTAAACTTTACCATACTTTATAATTCATAAAGATAAAAATTCATTCCATAATTTTGTTGCAAAATATATGGGTGGGTGGGGGGAACATTATCTATTAATAGATAATGTTGCAACCAATATCAGTGATTTTTTCCAACATCTGCATTCGATCATGTCCCAAACAAGCTAACGATAAACACAGGGTAGGAAGGCTGCACACTGACCCGTGATAATAGATCTGCAAATCATTTTGGGTGGAGTGTTATTTACAAAGCAAACAAGCTTAATATTTTCCGATCACATTACCCAAGTCCCTGTAAAAATTAGGAAGTTTTTGAGAAATCACCTGATGTCAAAAAAAGAGAGAAAAATGCTGACTTTGGGGAAATAATAACAAATAAATAAATTTGTACTATCAAGTTTGTTTAAATATATATTTAAGAAGACCCTTGTAATATTTATATATATATACTAGTAAGTAAAATCTCTTTAAATACATTTACTCAAAATTTGAGGACTGACTGATTAAACTAAGTCTGCAATAAGAAGCTTTTCAGAAATGTGTCATTTAAGACATTTATAAATGAGTCTTTGTCAGAGCACCGTGAATCTGTAGGTTAAGAAAACCATAAGGCAAATTATGATCATATGTATTCAAATATCCAGTTTTAATCCACTCTTGAGTAATAATAAAGAAAATACCGGTTAAGCTGTTGCCCTTTGCTTTATTTTTATGTATCATTGTGTTTTGGGTTGATAGGCCTTTTTCCCTTTTGTTTATGACAACCTGTATGATTTCCTCTCAATTCACTTCAGTACAGTTTATTTTTTTAAATAATGAATAATTCAATGTCAAAAGGAAATTTTAGTACACTTTTTTTCAAGTGGATTTGTAATGGCAACCCCAATCCCTTAGTTTTTTGATATAAAATGCTTCTAAAAAAGTCAATACCTGGGAATGTATTTATCAAATTGCACTTGTGTATGATTTTATACTTTCGATTTTCTGCATTCAATATGAGTACTCACAGTAGCTCTGCAAATCTATTATAGTGAAAACAAAGCTTTGCTTCATGACTGTGCAGTATGCATTTTGCAATAACAGTATAAATAAATACTTTGTACTATCTTTCCTATGTATATCAAGAGAAATGACCTGCAATTACTTAATGCATTTATAGTTCCTATTATCAATGTACTACACCCACCAGTAATTAAAGGAAAACAGGAAAACCTAATTGATTGTACATCAGTGGTTATTGACCAGATTGCAATATGTACCACACTTTTTTTCCATAATTGAATCTCATGTTCAAATGCTTCTGAGTTCTTCCACCCCATGTAAATTGTCTTTTTTTTTTACAGCTTTTGTGAACTGTGTACATGCTTCTCGCAGCTGTTGCCTAAACACAACAGTGATCAATAGGGAGAAGGAGTTATAACCAAGATTTGCCCTAGCTGGTACAAAGAAAAGGTGAAAAGATGAAAAACAAGAGGAAAGCAATCCATTCCAATTAAGGATGCTTACTGACAATGAAGAATTATAAATCAATGGATAATTTTTTTTTACACTAAAAGCATAGTAAAAATGTCATGGAAATAATGCCACATCAAAGTAAAAACATGTAATATCCATACACTGACAGACATCAATTATCTTTCATTAGATTGTATTTGGTCAGAGCACAAAACTGTATGCAAAAATATCTTATGTTAATAAACTTAAGGTCAAAGCCAAGATAACATGATTACACTTACAACTGCACTTTTTGATCACTACCTGTGACCCTGACCTACCTATTCTCCCGCTCCTCATGCTGTGCCACGAAGTTGTAGAAGTAGTATTCTAGAGTGACCTTGACCTACCTATTCTCCCGCTCCTCATGCTGTGCCACTAAGTTGGAGTAGTAGTTTTCCAGAGTGACCTTGGCCTTGGTTGCCTTGTCCTTGGTGTGATTGCTCACTATGGGGGTCTGTTCTCCGACAGTGGCCATTTTGGAGCGGCGACTCTGCAAAGACACAAAAAAAAGTCAATACACATGTTCATATACATGAACTCCATTCAGGCCGACTGAGGTTATACATATATTTACACGTTAGCTAAAATCTCAAACCTACAAATAACAGTGCACAATTTTAGTGATGTGTTTAATAAACATCAACTGATTACTTCATGTTTGCTATCTACATGTTACACTAGTGGTAAAATAAGAAAATAAAGCAGAAAGCTAAGTGTATGGGGTAAATATTCTTATATTTCATGTCAGAGCATCCTGAAAACCAAACACAAACACATCACCAATGTCATTTTCCTGTACATGTATAGATTATTAATACATTCTACATGTAAATATGTATTATTGCTGAGGCCTAAAAGATGAGTCTTCAGTCTAATTACGTTATTAATAATGCACATTTTATATGGTCTAATTGCTAGTAAGTTATCATAAAAAAAAAATCAGTTCCAGGTGCATACATTTTTACAATTACAATGCCAAAAATATAGAACAAAATCTGCATGACCAACACAAGATTCTTATATCAGATACTATTTTGTTCCTTCTATAAATGTGTAGCCTTTCTAGGTTCTCAGATAACACAGCATTCAAATATTTATTTTATGCCGACTTCAAATTTCAAGATTTATAACAAAACCAGAGAGATACCAACTTCAAGTCATATGACTTCAGTTTATGGTTCCCAAAATTAATTTACAAACAAACGCCAGGGTAACTATATTGCTACTCCTCAAGAATGCAATGAAAGTACCTTGCTTTGCTTTATTAGGACCAAGAAATGGGTTAAAAAGTTTTCACCTCCTTTGACTTTAAAGGGTTTGGAACTTTTTATCTTAACTCGTGTAAAACACAATACAACTTGTGGACATGGTCCAAAAAGATAAAAATATACATATTCAAACTGAAAATGATTATACAAGTCAATATTTAAACTTACATCAAAGGTAAACTCACTTAAGAAACTAGACTGTTAAAATATATACACCAAAACAGCAGTTTTAGAGTGTTTCCAAAACACATATAATGTAAATTAATACCTTGTTATATTGTCAGGCATGAAAAATGTTTCCTTCAAAAGACAATTACCTTCAAAATTAGTACATTTGCATGCGCGGATCTAGAGGGGGGGTCGGGGGGGTCAGGACCCCCCCTGGAATTTACCAGGTTAAAAAATGTATATACTAAAACAAGAAAAAAGTTACCATGGACCCCCCCTGGAAAACGCTGACCCCCCACTGGTAAACATATATGTGTGAAATGTGTATGAAAAGTGAAAGATTTGAGGTAATAGAAGTCACCACTCCCCCCCCCCCCCCCCCCCCCCCCCCAAAAATAGGTTTTTAACGTTTGGGGAGTTTAGTTTTTTTTTTTTTTTTTTTTTTGGTTGCCAGCAAATTTCTGGGATTGAAATTTTTTTTGACTGGGGTGGACCCCCCCTGGAAAAAATTTCTGGATCCGCGCCTGCATGTGTATTATGTCATTTCAGCTCAATTTTATATCAGTTGTATCCTCTATTTTTTTCTTACTTATAATAACTACGAATACATGTGCATGTGGATTTCATGGCTTTTATATTTTGCAAATATGAATCATAAAGAAATTAATGTTCTCATTTTTCAGCAGCTAGTACTTGAGATAATTTACGCATTAATATGCGTAAAACAAGAAAACAATTAGTAGTAAAGATACTTATAAATCTTCAGGAACATGATACACAGTCATCATACATGTATATTTATAATAAAGAAATTTATATTTCATTCCTTAAAGTCACATGAATTATTCATGAGATCATGCAGAAAATAAATTGTAACTAACAAGAAAATATTTCAAAAATTCATACATAGATTCATTACATATTCACAGGTGTAGATTTCACATAAGATGGTGTATCTTGTACACAAATCAATCTTTGTTTATTGTGGTGATCTAAAAATAGATCCCACATCTTACTTTTTCCAATCTTACAAAACTGTGAAATGAAGGTTCATCAAAGCATGAAGGTTATCACTGTATCTGACTTCCTCTCCCCACAAATACCACCATTTCATGCCTGAATACTTAAATCTGACAATTAACCACCATCTAAATACATATATCAGCTGATCAAGCAATCTGGTTCTGTATCTTTATATATATATATCCCACACTGAATGGAAACTGACTTCACAATTCTTATAACCTTTTGTTTACAAGCTGACTCCAGATAAGTATTTTAATGGAGACCTCGTTCACAATTCATATACAATCATTGTACACCAGCTGCACTTGAGCAAACGGTGCAACATACTATACTGCGTTGATGCCCCCATCAACCTTGTATCTAACTGTTTATAGGTACACTGCCCTTGTGACCTAACTCCTACAGAAAACTTATGAACTTACGAACACTAATTGTAAACCATCTATCAGCTCCTTTGGGTGGATTCCTTGTAATCAAACATTTGCTGGGCTGTATGCACTCAAAACTGCAGTCTAAAGATATTCTCATAATATACTTTATATACAATAAATATATCACATCCCTCTTTAACAAACTAGAACTACAATAGACCCTTGAGGTTTATTGACCACAGAACAAAGGGAATATGTCCCTGATCTTGGGGCTCCTAATTTCGCTTTTTTCCCCTCCCATATATGTTTCGAAAATATCAAATTAAAGTATTTATATCTGTATCTGCATGATGTTCATATTACATGTAATTCTTGTCATAAATTATGTAAAAACATCAAAATGAAATAAAACCTTTATGAACTCATCCCTTCGAAAAAAAAAATACAACAAAGATGAAAGTAGGTAAATTGACATGAATTCAAGCAAGGAAATAAAGGAATTAAACACTGTATTGTTTGAAGTAAAGAATACAGATGTACCAAGTCCTGAGAATAACAAGTCCTAAGAATAAAACAGAGGGATTAAAATAAAACAGAAGCAGGAAATCTGATTTAGAAATACCACTACTCTGTTCAGTGTCAGTCTAACCTCATCACAAAACCAAACTTATCCAAAAAATAACATAGCTACTTCCTTCCATGTTAGAATCTGGCCTCTTGATCATCTTCCCCACATAAAAAATGTCAATTATATATACAATATGAGAAAAAAATAAAATAAGTACAACCTCTCCCAGCACACCTTTTTTTTGTCTATAAAACACAGTCAAAAAATGTCCTTATTTTAAAGATGTTAAAAGTATCAAAACAAACTTCTGGAAAAATATAATTAACAGGAAATATGAACAAAGGCCCAACATATTAATGTGCTACTTGGACATTACATCGAGGCATCCTCCTCATTATAAACCACCACTCCACAGGTACATGGGAGATCCATTCATTTTGCTGTTGGCACCCTTCCCAACCCTGACACCCCTCAATCCACAACAAGAGCTCTGGAAATTGCCCAGTGTACTATTAACAATATTGTACCTGATCTGATGTAAAGAGCCTGATCAGTGCTTCCAGTCGAGCTAGTCTTTTTTCCATTCCTCCGATATCATCAAATTGTTTCTTTCCCTGACCCTTCCCAGAAGCTTGTGTGTATTCCCTAACCCACAGTGACAGATGACTACCGATTCCTTGTGTATTTTGTCTATAATTGGTAATGACGAGCACAAGGTGATTTCCGAACATGATCGTAACATAAATGAGACATGAGCCCTTGGGGCCATAATGCATCTGCTCATAAAATGAGCCTTAGATCTTGCATGTATAGTTTTATCAAGGTGACACAATTCTTTATAAGGTCCTTTCTAGAGAACTGGTCACTAGGTAAAAAGCAAACACAGTGTTGGCTTTAGGAGGGGGTGATGGATGACCGGTAGAGCAGTGAGATGCTTATTTTATGGATCCCTAATTGGAACAACACTGGTTTAGTACCACCTGCCTTAAGCCTTAGGATACAAACCTGGTGGTGTTGTGCAATAGAGAAGATACTATCTTAATGTGTGTAGACACTGTTGTTACACTATCACTCTCTAATCTGATTTCACTTGTCTACATTGAATACATAAGTATCAAAGGCTTTAATAACAACATTGACTTTCTTTTTCTTTTAACACCCATTCTTGCCACTACACAGGTCTAACAAGTTTAAATACACATTCAATTTCAAAACACGGCAACACATATTGTCTATATTTTCCTGACATTTTTACAGTTTGAAAAATAATTCTTCCTTTAAAATCTAACAATGTTGTACACTTGAACTTCTGAACAACCTTTTAAAATCTTGTAAGACAATATTGCACCAAAATACACTGCACTTAATCCCGCATGTTCATCATTTAAAATGCTTTCAGGAAGAAAAAAAGAAACTCCACTGAACAAACTATGAAAGCTTAAGTTTAAAATCAATTGCAGCCAGGTAAATCATAATTACCTTTGAGGTGTAAAAATGACTTTACCTGACCTATTCACACCAGGTAAGTAAGAAAACGCACCCTCCCCTTCATTTACAGCTCTCCTAAAGAGAGGGAAAAAAATCCCAATGGTCAGAATATGTACGTACCACATTGTTACCCATGCATGCCTGTCCTCCGCTAAATCCCAAATTAATCCCTCGTGTCTTCTTGGTCCCTCATCTAACTATAAACGTTGGGGGGATTTCATGTGACAGAGCTTGCTGGATGAGTTAGTCATGTGACCGTGTATTTATCGCTTTATATTGATTCATCTCTATCTAATCATCAACTTATTTGGGGATCTATAAATACTGTATTAAGGTACATAAGTCAATAAAGACAACACATGGGAGAGTAAAATGTCAACAACGACTTCCTCCCGTCTTCACGCACTGACGGAAAATTAACCCGTATAAAACTTCAGTCTTTTTTTTTTTAAAGTATTTGCTTTAAAACTCCTTTTTGAAATGTTGGCGTCCATGAAATAACCGGAAATTAAGTAATCTTAGAAATCAGAGAAGGCAATGTAGCAATGCAGGTAATAAATGGTGTTTGAAACTAACAGACAATAGCAGTATTATTTTAATGAAGGGAAGTTTTAATTCTATGTTAAATAGAAATAGCAATTAAATTTAACACTACCTTACAAAAATGAGTTCAATTTTTTTCCTTGTGTGTTTATTATGTCAACTTATCTGAATAATCTATTTTGCACAATCATCTGCAAATTTAAATACTGGTCATGGATCAGAGAGAATAAAATATAAATCATTCATATACATGGTCTCTAATCTGTAAGAATGTCATCTTGGAATATATAATTTTAACTGACCTGTTTAAATAACAACTACTGACATAAAATGAGAAACATGAACTTGAAATAACCATGTCCTTTAAAATTATTTGAGGTTTTGTCTGATTTCTTATCAACTTACTGCATTTGAGTATGTGTATGCTATTAACAATAACTGCCTCTGGACGTGGGTTCAACAGACAATGCATACTAGTAGAGGTTTATATGAGCATTATACAAGAACAATTTATATGCATATCATGAAATTAATGCAAGCAATTGACAACTTGGAAGGTTAGTAAATTATTCAGGCCATGGTATATTTAAAAGGCTTTCCCCAGAGTGCTGACCAAATGACTTATTAATTCAATGTTTTCAACACTTATAGATATACGTATATTAATAAATTCTGCTTCCCACTTAAAAATTCTGGTCACTTTCCTAAATATTGAAGATCTTTCCTGATGTAAGTTAATCATTTGGTTTTCCCTAATCAAAAGCTAATTAAAAGTCAATCTTTGAAAATTTGTTTGAAAAGTACTCTCTTCACTTGTTTAATTAATTAAGTAAATATTTCCATTTTGAAATAAATATCATAAAAGTAACTACGTACTCAGAAGAAGGATTCTTTTACATACATACATGTACATCTATTTCTTAAATAGACTCGTCATGAGTAGACAAGCAAACAAGACGTTTAATGCTTCAATGTTATGACTATTAAGACAGAAGAACCAGAGCATGTGAAAATTAAATATCATCAAATCCTCAAGTCAGACTACAGTAAAAGAACAACTAAAACTGGTGACCCATATCAGCAATGACACACAAAGCAATGTATGACTGACAACTTATTATAAAACAGCTCAAAAAGGAGCACTGAATTACCACATCAGCTTTATTTATATCCAAGATAATAACTACTGCCATGTACTTTTAACTGTTAAACTGAAGTTGAACAGCTGTAACACGGTGACCCTTCTTTGTGATTTAATGTCACTTTCAATACTACTATGTCATGTGTGTATTCAGATGACAGCGTCGTCATACAGTAAATTTCATACATAAATACACTGACATTTACTAACATTAACAGTATTGTTAAACAGCTCAAGAAAATGTCATTTGTAATGTAGACTAGAATTACATACATAACTGTTTGTTACATTGTGCGAGTTCTTCATTTTTACTGTTAATAGAAATATCCAAGTTTTCGTCAAGACAAAATATGAAATTTAAGACAATAGATACATATGTCTCAGATTTTTAATTATACTGAAATGATTTACTTACAAAATTTCTAAAAACTTTAAAGATATTTACTTCAATCCTCTATTGATAGATATATTTTCATTATCATTATGATAAACTTAGCTCTTGAGATACCAAGATAACTGAAAAGGGAATAAAACATTGACCCTTTATTAGTCCTTACACATCACATTGGACTATGTAAGACAAGTCCAGTAAAAAGAAAATAAAATGTGAATTTGTGTAGAATTTAAAGTGTAGGATGTCATTGTCTTAGACATTCTTTAAACTAAAAAAAATGGAAAGAACCATTTCTCATGAGATTCATGCCAATCATGGGCTTTAGCCATTATTTGTATCCTTGTGTCTTTTCATACAGACACCAAACAGAAGGAAGAGTAAATAACTTACCCTGGCCTTAAGGAGTTTATTCTTGAGTCTCCAAATTGCAGCGGTTAAATAAAAAGCACATAAGGTATGGTAACATCAACAGTCTCAAGTCTCCTTTTCAGCAGGTAAAAAAATCTAAGTGTCCAGCCGGAAATAAATAAATGCGCACAGAGAAAAAGATAAGGTCATAAAATAGTTCCTTATAAAATTAGCATATTTTTTACTATCTAATCAAAGGAAATAAATAAAAAATTATTAAATACTTAGAATAATTTAAATTACTTTATTTTTGCCTTCAAATTTACACATTACACTTGAAATATGATTTGTTTACATATGATTTGTATATTCTTGCGCAGTCACTTTTCATTTGAAACGAAAGAAGAAGTTTACATTAGTTAAGAACGTTCTTTTTTAAGCCTTTCCTGTAATACACTTGTTGAAGACTCATTATATAGCTAGTTTTTAATATTAAGTGAAATTTAATTATGATATTAAGTAATCTTTTTATGTAAACAAGAAATAGTCTCCTAAACGCTTTTTCATAACGCAAGTTAAATTGAAGTGTTCGAGCGTTTGTTTTACATTGATTGTGCAACATGGCGTCAACATCGCTGTCAGAAAAACAGAGCAGTGAAAAAGAAACAGCACAGAATCTCAGAGAGACAGAGAGAAGCCCAGTGAAAGGTTCAAAGAAAGAATCAGCAGCAGACAATGAAAGAGCCTCTTCGGAACCCTCCACGTCAAGTGTGTCACCAAGCAGCAAGCAAGACTCGGCAGAGAAAAAGAGGAAATATGAACCTAGTGAGGCAGAAATAAAAGCATATAAGCATAAACGAGAAAAACAAGAAGAAGAGAGACTAAAAATGCAGTTAGTAGTTATACAATTCATTGAAGCTGTTGTATGTGTGTTGGTAATAATATGTTCTACGGTGTCGGTGCGACCGTTGGGGCGAGCGCAGTTACTGCCTTAGCCGTTTAAGTCACGAAAGTATGACGTCAAATAAAATGACCTCCCACTCAAACGCCGATAGTTTTGTGGCATGGAGATTGCATATCGTTGTTTGTAATTTTTTTCAGTAAGTTGTTGCTATGTTTTAGCCACCATGTTGCTATGCACCGCAAAGGATTATTAAATTTTAATGTTTTCACGTGGACTCATAAAAATTACATTTTAAAAGTAAATAAGCATATACTGAGTCAAACATTCTTCTATACACTTCTTATAATATTTTTGAAGCTGTTGTATGTGATTGGAAAGTGTGTACGGTGTGACACAGGGGCATCTTATCCACTCTGTTCTATTAAAAAACACTTGAAAAATATAAAAATACACAAGGGAAGAATCGAAAGTACGTCACACGACGTCAAAACTTGTCAAAAAAACAACTTACTTGAGAAAAGTTTACACAAATGAGCCGAAAAACTAGCGCAAATTAACCACCTGTACAAGAAATTTTGCCAGCTATGAAATTTCCGCCATTAAGATTTTGCAGGGGCTGATACGTGAAATCCATAGCTTTTATCACAATTATTTCCATGATCTAGAATAGCTTCCCTTGAGTGTGCTTTTTTTTCAAGGAAGTTTGATTAGATTGATAGTGTCATGTAATGGCGTGGAGGACAACGAATTTCAAGCGAAGTCATGGAGAAACGTGCTGCTGCTGCAACACATGCGTTTGAGATCACATAGATTAAGAGGCATAAAGAATGGTCCCTTCTGAAAAGATTCAAATTTTCGATTTAAAATTGATTGTGCGGCAGCCTCAATATTAAGTGATGGGTTCCCAGGTGAAACAACAAATATCTATATCTAGGCAAATATAATTTTAAGACCTTACGAAAAAATGTTGAATTCTCACAGAATTTCCTCAAACTGAAAATCTCAAATGTTAAGCTAAGACATAATAATACAAATAAAAGTCTTAATATTTTAAAAGTGACTCAGATGTAGAAATATTCTTACAGAATTTCCTCAAACTGAAAGTGCATAATTTTATTCTCATTTATTCGTGTAAGATGTCTTGAAATACAGGAACAGTATCATTTTCACATTTGGGAAGGTTTTAATGTACTAGTATTTTGTATTAAACATTCTTAATTATATTGACGATGTGACAAAATGCTAAAGTAAATCAGTTTAAAGATTAATTTATGAAAAGTCTAAGATTGCAGAATATTTCAATTTTTTTTTTCGATGGGGGGATGTGAACGATGTACATCACCAAGTGTTTAAAAATCATAAATTTTTAACTAAATATTTTTTTTTTGAATTTTGGATAAAACACCTGACCAATTTATGTGAAAGGGACTAAATATGTAGAATTTTCAGTTTAATATCCTACCACAGACAATTTTCTGACTAGAATTTCATACTTAAGTTGTCTATTATGTTTGTATAGATACTTAGTTTTAGTTTTCAGAAGAAAAAAACTCAGTCTGTCAAAAATCTGTCAAACAAATCTGTGAAAAGGTGAAAATTAATTTCTAATTGGCTTTTTAAGGTAAAATTTGATAATTGATAGTGACAGGAATGTGAAAAAATGGTACCTTTTTAATGGCCTGAGAGGTAAGAAAAATGAGTCTAAAATGCTGATTTATGCTGAAAAATGCTGAAAATGTATATCGATTTGTGGAAGTTGACGTAAAAATGGGAATCTTTTAAATCAATATTCCAAATCCATAGAGGACTGTTTCTGAACATTGAAAGGTAAATCAAGTATCAGTAATTGGAGTAAAATATATATGGTTACTTATCGGATACCATTCTGAGAGCGTAAAAAATCATAATCTTCAAGAAAAAATACCTGAATTGAGCAACAAAACATCAGCGGCGTAACTCAAAAGTTTTTACAACGTGTGGATCTGTAGCTCTCTGCTTTATCTGTCCGAATTTTCTCAAGCAGAGAGCTAAAGTTCTGCAGCTACTCTGACAAGAGTTTTTATATTTTGAAATGTGCTCAGCAGCTGGGGAAAGTCAGAGCACACGCTAATTTAAGGGGGCCGACTATAGTTTCCATTGCGCAATATTTCGCGCATCATAGTAAAATGAAGCGTATTTACTGTTTAAATGCAACTTTTTTTGCTTAATTAGTAAAATTAAACAAAATTAAGAAATTATAGGTATAAAAATGTAATTACAATTTGATATAACTGATTTTTTAACCGACTTTGCAATTGATAGGTAGGTTGACGTCGTTGCAGTGTGTTTTTGACGTTATGATAATCTGTAGCTCTTAAAGAAAGGGGTAATAAAAATATTATTAAAGAAAAAGTAATAAACATACGCTCTTGAAATTTCAAACATAGAAATTTGAGAATATCTCCAATATTTTTATTAAGTTTTCATGTGAATCCATTGTTTACGTCATATTGTGTAATACTCTATAAAAATAGTAAAATTTGCTAATTTTTTGCATTTTGAGATCCCCCCTCTGGTAACAAGACGGTGGAATTTTGTGTTTCTTACATATATTGTATAATATAGTATTACTCATCAAATATTATAGTTTGAACAAAATGTCTATTGTAGTATTTGTATAATTTGCTTTAAAGTGCTAAAAATCGGCATTTCACTATATACTGTAAAAGCACAAATAGAGAGATTAAACAAAGGTTTATTTCGTTGTTTACAATATTCAACGAAATTAAATCCCACACGAAATTTTATATGACTATATATTGAATAGGGTTACTTTCAAAACAACGAAATTAAATGCCCACGAAACTATTTTTGATGACAAAACAACGAAATTTTATGCCCACGAAAATTTGTGCTTCTCAGTAATCCTATAGTATATGGATTTTAGACGGTCCCTCAAAAATACCTTTAATTCCCCCAAACTTTGCATGTACACTAAAGTTAATGTAAGTTATCTATGGCATAAAAATGAAGAGTTTCGCTATTGTAGTTTTCACACAATAAAACTATAGTCGGCCCCCTTAAAAAGTGGGAATTTTGCATCTCCATCTGCTGACACTACTGTGCTGACATTTTACAACTTTGTTGCAGATCTATTAGAGAAATGTTACAGAGATTTATGTTGATTGATTTTGAATTTTTTTTTAACAAATTTGATATTTTTTGTTATCTTTACTTAGTAGGTGTTAGAGTTATCTTCACTCCAAGTCTCTTATGTCTGACTAAAATGAAAACAATGAATGACATACAGTTAAACCTTGTTATCTCAAACTTGATGGTACTAACAAATTAAAATGACCTACAGTAAAATCTCTAAGTCAGTGGGACTAGTAAAAACCTCTACATATCCATGATATTCAAGATATCAAGAGTAAAATAGTTAATGGGTAAGGAGTTGGGACATCCAAATCAGTTCAACATATCTGTAATACCGGTATTTGAGTTTTTGGTTTTTCAACATACACAGAAACAACTTTAAAAACTTCGCAGCATGTGCTTTTCTTAACTTAATTAATCATTATATCCTTCTTTCTTCATTTATATTTATTTCATGTAAGAGGAAAAAAACTTTCATTATTAGCATATAAATGATATTCCATATTCTCTGAATTTTTGTATTATTATTAAGCCTTTATTTTATTTTCTTCTGTAGAGTTCTGGTGTCCAATTTTACAGAGGAGCAGCTAAACAGATACGAGATGTTCAGAAGAGCTGCTTTTCCAAGGGCTGCAATCAAAAGGGTAAACAGGTCTTATAAATGAAAGACAAGGTGGATAGCATTACCTCCCTTAGTCATGTTTTGTAAAATGCACTTGCATATATCTTGTAATGTCATTTTCAAATATTTTAAGTGTACCTAAGAAAAAAATCCCACTATAAAGTACATGTATCATTAATTTTGGAGTGTTTGCCATCCTTTTTTATGATGGCCCATATAGCAGAACAACACTTATGGATCACTTTACCTGCATCTTTCTGCCTGTCCATCTGTCTGTTTATTCTATGTCAGACCTTATTATCTACATGTATATCTTCAAGATCACACAATGGCTTTTGAAAACACCCTGGTTGACAACCTTTTAACTTGACCTTTGACTTTTCAAAATAGTTTATGATGTACAGCATACTTTTTTCGATATTTGAGTATCAAGTCTGTGCTATTTAGCATGCACTCTAGCTGTTTGTCTTACCGTACGCAAAATCCTAGAATGCAGCCTCCGTGATATTCAAATTTGACCTACCTGTACTTTTAAAAATTTTCTTTGAATGATTTAATTACCGGTATATTTATAACATGTTTATGTGTGAGTTTACTGTTAATTCACACACTATGAAGATTGAAGAGTCATATTTCCTTTTCTCATTCAGCTGATGCAGTCCATAACTAGGACCAGCGTATCTCATAATGTTGTCATAGCGATGGCTGGGATTGCCAAAGTCTTTGTCGGAGAGGTGGTGGAAGAAGGTAAGAATAAGAAAACATTATACAGTGTATATAGCCCTCTACATCAGCTACAAAATTATGTATCTGTATCGTTAAAAGTTTAGCATTGTTCTAAGGGGATAGGTCAATATATTTCTATTGTTTTTAGCTAGATGGGTTGTATACTACTGCTAATAGCATATGCAAGTTAAATATGTTCATCAATAATCTTGAGAAGATTGTTATTAAATTTTTTAAAACATTTTTTTCATTTAATAAGCTGCACATAAAAAGCAAATAATATTACACTCATCTGAGAGCATATTATGCTACAGAATGTTAGCATTAAAATACAGATGTATCAGTTAATGTATTTAATTTCCTGTTGTAGCCCTGGACATCATGGAGAAGAATAAAGAGACTGGACCAATACAACCCAAACATTTACGAGAATCGGTGCGCAGGATTCGAAAAAGGGACAGTCTGTCTAAGTCCAAAAAGGTTTTACTAAACACGTGATACCAAGAACTCAGGGACGAAAAAAGTCAGGTGTCAAAAAAGAACTTCTGTGATGTCTGAAGAAGTGTAGCTTTGTCACAGATCCAGCATTCATGTTTTCTATTGGCTGGAAATTCAGTGTTGTTATGTTGTGATTTTACTATACTGCTATAATGGTGCTGGCTGTGGTGAATATTGAAGTGTACTACACTGTAGTGAGAAGTTCCTACTGCTTTTTGAGGAGGGGGTAGGGGGTGGAGGGATGGAATGCATGGGTAATGTACTTGTGTACAAGAAGTTCAGGGATGTCATCAATCATTTTATTGCCATCATATTTAATATTGGATTGATTTCAGGTTACATATTATTAATTTATGAATGTATATGTATTAAAAACAGAACTGAGAGTTTTTCAAACAATTATTTAATTAATGTGGTATTGTAAAATTACCCTGAGAAAAAAAGTTCTGATAAGTTAAATAACAAGCTTAGTATTACTGAGGTAACTTTTTGTTTTGTTAGTTTGGTTGTCTCTGCTACCCGCTGTTGTCACAAAAAGCAACTAATATTTACGCCTCTCTTTGTGACGTATTTCAGTCAGCAAGTTTTGTTTCATCGCAATTGAAATCAACAAATGGTCAACAGTACACAAGAAATATTTTCTTTACTGTGATTGGATTTTCAGTAATTTCCAACATTTTTGCATTTATTTAATGAGCTAAAAGAATTAAGTCAACCACGGCCAGAATGGGAGAGGATCGTACATTTTGGCCGTGGTTTGCGACAATGATCTATTGTTAGTTTGGTTGTTTGTATGTTGTAAGTAACTAGCTAATACTTTTTTTTAGTATTTCAACTAGAGTTGTCGTTTCATCAATAAGTAGTATCAATAACATATGTACCCATATATTTAGTAAGCTCCAACGTTTTGCACATTTTTCTAGAAGGCAGATGACAAATCAATTGTTTAATGAAGTAAAAATTAAAATAATGTTTTCCTAACTTATTTTTTATCAACAAAATGATCTACTGAATCTTCATCTTTTTTTTTAACAAAAGGTCTAATGTTCACAATGTATGAAAAGCATCTTCGCTAGAAGGGTTTCCAATCCAAAATCTACTCATTTTGTTTGTATCGGAACTGTAATAATTCCACAACATACGGTTATATTCAAGTAAATAAAATTTACGATTGTTTGTTTGTTTGTTGTTAAACGTCCCTCTCGAGAATTTTTCACTTGTTTGAAGATTGCACGCCACTATTTGTAGATTTCGGATCGGAAACCCTTCGCTAATGATGTATGAAAAGTGGCATAATTCATTTTTTCTTATTCAACCTGGAAAAGAGAAATTTGAGTTATTTCCCCTTTTATGTCATAAAATTGATTACTGTGGCAGTGTTTTAATGCGCCACCACTCAAGATTTTTTGTCCTGGGTTAATTTGTTGTTGTTTTCACTTAAAAGTATTGAAAATGAGCAAATACAAAAAGAAATTATACAAGAAATACTTTTTTATTTGAAAAAAAAGTTATAAACTTCAACAGAGAGAAAATAAAAATCGGGGGAGGGGGGGTATAAAGAGGAAAGTTGACTCGTTGGACTGTCACACTTGTAAATTACATCTGCCTTGTATAAAGTGAAATTACATTCACTATTAAAAAAAGTGAATTCAGTCTTGAGCAAACATCATGTCACTACTTTGGTAATTAAACAATATCAAACTGAAGCTGAAGTTCCAATTCATTAAAACGGTTCCAATCTATGACCTACATGTAGTTGGTGAAATGTGTCTGTCGCCCTCAGGAGAGGTCGTCGATATTCTCTCAGGTCATGGGCCAAAAAATTGTGATTTAGTACATTTGTGAGGTCTGACAAAGTCAGACACGATTTGTGACAGACAAATTAGAGTTGTGGTCAAAACAGTCTACTAATATATATCTTTGTCTTGTTCTGGGGGGAACAAACCAAAACAATATTATTAATATTATTACCTGTACATTTTACTCTAGAAGAGTTGGTACTTATTGAAAATTAATGGCTTGCTGTACTCTGATTATGGAGTGAGTGTGTGATAAGTCTGACATTATGCCCTGATTTAAATTAAAAGTACATGACATTGTATGTCAATATTGAAAATGCACGGCTAGACCAGATTCCCCCGTTGTCAATTGCAAATATGCGAAACAAAATACTGTTGTACAAGACTATTAAATAGACACGGGAGATTTTTCAATAAAAACTCGATTATACCATTTTTTTTGTTTGATCAAATGTATTTACGATCAATATTGCTTTATAATTTGGTTGAGGTAAAGAAAAAAATGATGATTGCATCTATATTCAAAAATCCATTTTCACCATCATAGAAAAGATTTCGATGTCAGTACATATGTCATGTTGTAAATTTTGAATTTACCGGGTGGCAGTAAATACAAAATTCATATATTAGAAAGAAAAAAAAAACAAAAGTTTCAGACAATGGTAAACCTCAACATCAGTTGATGTAGAAACTTAATTGCACCCCAAAAGTACATTTTGGGGGAGAAAAAAAAATCTTGCAAGGGTGGTTGCAATTGGGGGAGGGGCAGAAATGTACATGCATGCATGGATTTTATCTGTCTCTCCATCGTGAAACAACAATAATATTTTGCACCCTACGTGTCACGTAGAATCAACTTATCTATAGTTCTTACAGTGCCTGGAACTATTTGATAGATTTCAACACATTTCACCCCGAGTAGAAAAATAAAATGCTAAAATATGAAATTTAAATCCCCATATAATATTACTTCTATTGACCGAACGTTCTGGGGATTAGCCGAGCCGTCTTGTGGGGTTCTGTAAATCTTTAGAAATCTCAGTGTTTGGCCCCGTTCTATAAACTAAATACTCATATGCAGAATTGTATTGATCTGCATGTTAGATTTTCTTTGCTGTTTGAATATTGAGTCCATTCTCCCAAGTGCGAAAATAAAATTTAGACGATTGCGAAATTGGAGATTGAAACAACTAGGATCGTGATTTTTTTTTTAATTTTATTTTTTAAATATTTAAATCAGGAAAAGCATTCAATTAAAAATACATTAAAATTTCAAGAAATATAAATTTTACAACATAATTAAAATCTAAAAGAAATCAGATGTAAAAGAATGTTTGGAAATCTTGATCTGTCAGTTATTTGGCCTTCTTGTACATGTATATACTTATACTAAGACTTCAACAGTTATTTTGGTTTTGGATTGTGTCTAATTTAGTCAAATATAAATAATATAGAAAATATGTGTCTCTTAAGAAAATCAAGTTACACCTACAAAAGCGTGTAGGTGGAAGGGGGGGGTCCTTTTTCAGTCTTCTAACTGTAAACAGAAACTCCGATACGACAGAAAATTTAAAAATAAACCCAGACTTGATGGGATTGGTTTTAATTCTCATTTTCTAAAATATTTGTTCTCTTTGATAGGAATCAAAATTAACTATCAGTATTTGTGTCGAAAGACTTTTCAACAAAGTTATATATATAGATGATTTTTCATCAACCGACAAGTTTTGGTATGCGCAAAACATCCAAAAGAAGCAAAAATCGTCTTTGACTGATGAGTTTAATTTTTAGCTCTACTGGTCAGAGACCAGAAGAGCTTATGCGATAGTAATGCGTCCGTCGTCCGTCCGTCTGTCTGTCTGTCCGTCTGTCTGTCTGTAAACAATTTTTCAAAATGCTACTCCTCCTACAGTTTTGGTCTGATTTCAATATAACTTGGCACACAAGTAGACTACACTAAGATACATAATTCTGTGTATCGGTTTTTGATTTCGATGAACGGTGTTGCCGTGGTTACTAAAAATAGAAATTTCTGTGAAATTCTTTCAAAATGCTACTCCTTCTACAGTTTTAGTCTGATTTCAATATAACTTGGCACACAAGTAGACTACACTAAGATAGGCAATTCTGTGTATCGGTTTTTGATTTCGATGAACGGTGTTGCCGTGGTTACTAAAAATAGAAATTTCTGTGAAATTCTTTCAAAATGCTACTCCTTCTACAGTTTTAGTCTGATTTCAATATAACTTGGCACACAAGTAGACTACACTAAGATAGGCAATTCTGTATATCGGTTTTTGATTTCGATGAACGGTGTTGCCGTGGTTACTAAAAATAGAAATTTCTGTGAAATTCTTTCAAAATGCTTCTCCAAATACAGTTTTAGTCTGATTATAATATAAATGTGGCATGCAAGTAGACTGCACTAAGAACATAAAGAGGCTTAATCAAGGATCATTCTATTTATTGATGTTGAAAAGTTTCAATTTCCAACTGCTTAAGTACTTTTCTCTTCCTTTGCTATAAGTACAAACCAGTAGAGCTTCAGTCTCGACAGAGACTTCTGGTTTTATTTGCAAGAGAATTGGTTGTCCGTAAAATTCGTGGACTTACTTAAAATTCAACAATCAAGCGCTTTTCAATACTGCTTTGTATGTAGCAGTACTTATATGTAGTGAGATAAACTCATACTTAAACCAAAGTTCACACGAGACGTTACCATTCGTCACTCTGACTTGAATATTTGATCTTTCGACCATTAACTACTCTCTGAAGTCTTAAATAGTTTACAAACTTGGTCCGTGAGTACTGACTGAACATTTGCATAATATAAAGCAGAGAGCAAAGATCGTTTTATCTACGTTGCTCAAAGGGTCATAATTTGAATTATCGAAATTTGTAACAAACTTACTTTATGCAAATTTTCCAACTTACAATCAGTCACAAAAGAAAAATGTATATATAGGCTATCTTAGAAGGGTGGATACAGTGTCAACTGAAATAATTGTACTTCATGTTTTAATTTATACTTTGTTTATAAAATGGTTTGTTATCGTTCATATAATTGTTTTAAAATGTACATATTATATAATATGTGTTTTACTTCTTGAATAAATTATTTTCAAAAAAAAAAAAAAGAAAGAAAGAAACAATTGTACATGTCTATGTAAAAATATTATTATACGATACTGAACTCTGCTGCAACACAATGCAATATATTGTAATGCCTTGCAAATTGACGAATCAAAATAAACTTGGTCAGTTTACCTCGAAATTGAATTCAAAAGATAAATGAAAATCCCCATTATCTCTATTCTGTGTTCTGCAGCTGAATGTTGGGAAGAGAGGGGGAGACTATATGGTATTCTTTTTAATTCACATTTTCATAGTTGTTCTCTTTGATAGGAATCAAAATAACTACAAGTATTTGTGTCGAAAGACTTTT